GCAAAGGAAACGACAGCGGGAAAAAAACCCATCCAACGACGAAACATTTTCCTATCCGTGCATCCATCGGTTAAAACCGTTCTCACGATTCTTCCGGATGTTATTGCTGGTATTATTTTTTATTCAAATCCCGAGATAACTTCCCCATGTGACATAAACACCGAATGGATAATGATATTCGGTTTGAAATTGGATTTTAAAAATAACTCGAGATAGAGCACACGAGTATCTGATATCAGATATAATCATTATGACATTTATCCTCATGATAAAATCAATGGACTCGTATTTCACGGGACATTTCAATTTTCCCCCGGTAAGGAATAAATTGTTTACGCTTTGCAGTGAGAAGGCAGTTTTTATTTCAGTAGTGAAGCGGTAAACCGAGTCAAGTCGATTTTGACTATTAGCCAGTTTTTGCTGAATATCTTGGAATCTAAGAGAGATAGCAAAATTTTTCTCATGACTTTTTTTATAACGCTTTATTAGCTCTACAAAAAAGGTCATGACAAAAATCTTTCTATCTCTTTTAGATTCCGAGATATTCGTCAAAAACTAGCCAATAGTAAAAAACGACTTAACCCGGTTTACCGCTTCGCTACTGATTTAATCATCTTTTTTTTAATTCGATTTATTTAATCATCAAAATTTTCTCTGATGTTTGGGTGATCATTGCAGTCGGCTTTGCAGTCGTTTATCCAGCAGGGAGATCCGTCGAGTGTCAGGTGGAGGGATAGATTGCGTTTTCGTTGGCGATTCATCGCCTCGGAGATTCTAATTAATTCCCCCTGCTCGCGGCGCAGCGTCTCGCGCATTTTTTTCACCTTCGCCTCGGCCTCCTCGTGCTTCGCCAGTATTTCGCGCTGCAGTGCTGCAATCCTCCTGTTCAGGGTGTCGTAGCTCGACTGGAGGGCGTTTTGCGGTGGCCTTTCGGCGCCCCTCGGGGGAACAGACTCGTCCTGATCGTCTCCGACGACGGACGACGTTAATTCACAAATTCTTTCGTGCAGATCCGCCAGTGCAGTCAGGGGAAGGGACTGGAATTTATGGGGAACATTCGGCGGATTGTGAATAATTTATCGGGGGGGAGTCGTTAATTATGGATGAAACGAGTTTACGGGAATTAATTGGGGCTTTAACGGAGTAGAATGATTTAATTATTAATTATTGAATTTGCTGGTTTGAGGGGATTACCTGCAGCCATGACTCTGGGTCAAAAACATCGGCATTTGGATGGGGCGGGGGACTTCGGGGAGCTGCCTATGGACAAAATATTTTTGAATTGGAAGGCAGAGGTAATGTAAAGGATTACAGGAAAATGAATGTAGAATAAATCTTATAGAAGTGATGTTCACTGATTATTAAGGAGAGGAGGAGGGCTACATTGGTGTAAAACAAAGAAAAAGATTTGTCATGCTCAAGGGATAAATGAATTTAACAAATATGTTTAAATTAAATTTGGAAATTCAGAGTCCGCGTTGAGTGGAACTGCTGTTGGAAGGATAGAGCGGCTTAGGTTTTTGCGTTCTGTATAAATTCTAGAAGATTTTAAACATTTTCAGAAATTTTCGGGATTTTAACAGCTGAAACATTTGACAAGTGTTTTTTAACAAATGAAATTTTCGGAAATTTTGCAGAAAACCGGGGAATTTTCTCTCATTTCGTTAAAAAATCTAGAATTTTCTAGAATTCTGCATTCTGCGAATGGTCAATACAATCCGGGAATTCTCTAGAATTTTAAAAATTGAAAATTTTATCTTGGAATTTTTTATAATTTTTTCAAGTAAAAAAAAACGGAGACATTTTCTCAAATTTTCTGTAAAACCGTAGACTGTTCTCGAATTTTCTAGAAAAATCTAGAATCTTCTAAAATTTCTCATTCCGCGAATGCTCTACAAAATCGGGAAATTTTTTTAGAAGACTCCAAAAATTTGTTAATAATTTCCAGTTTCAGTTCAAATTTCCAAAAATCAAAGCTGAATAGCAATTGGAGATCATTTCAGATTATCAACATAAAAGAACAGCCAAGACCACGTTCGAGGGATAATCCACCCGGGCCTTAAGCCTAAATTACTCTCAGCAAACCGTAATTCACGTTTACGTTTTCTGTCCGCAAAACTACCCCCCAAAAATGAAGAAAACCGCTAAAAATTACTTGAGATTTCCTCCCCAACACAATGAGCTCCTCCTGGGCCTTCGCAATAGCGCCAGAAAGTTCTTCCGATAATCCAATAACCCCCGCAATGTCAGAATTGCGCACGTCAATCGATCCAAAAGTATCACCAGACTCAGTTTGATCCTCCCACACCCCTCTCCCCAGCAAATCGATCATCCTCCTGATGCCATTGACGTCTGCACCAGAAAATAAATAACCCAGTGAAAAAAAAACTACACGAATTCTCGAGCCGTTAAAATGCTCCTAAAAATAATTCAGCCGCATTAACCATTGATTTGCCGATCGAATCTCTGTTTCAGTGCGTCCAACGCCATGAAGAATTCATCTCGCGCCACCTCACCACTACCCCCGGCCCGTGGTATTGACGTTCTGTCAGTGCTTCTAACAGTCGACAGCCTCCGCCTCTCGCGATCCCTCTGACACTCCTCAATGTCCCTCCTCAACTTGGTATTTTCCCTCCTCAAATCATCACCGGTTTGCTTAACCCTTCTCAATTCATCCAGAGCTCTCTGCAAACCCGAGTCATCCAGTCCCCCCCTGAGAATGTCATTCTCCCCTTTCAGCCTGTTGACCTCCGTCTTCAACAGCTCCAACTCGTCCCTCAGTCCCTTCGCATCCTCCCTCTTCAGCCCTGAATTCTCCGCTCTCAAGTCATCGATCTCCCTCCTCAACCCTTCAAGGTCACCGCGAGCTGGAGCCGATCCTCCTGCCCTCAAGCCCTCATTCTCCCTTTTCAGCTTCTCCAATTCATTGGCGAGGTCATTCATTCGCGATCCGTCGACTCCATCCCTCAGTAAATCATTTTCCGTTCTTGTTCTGTTTAAGGTATTTATGTTAAGAAATTGATTATTTTTTGACGTGGATACGTCTGTTTTCATTATGGAGGGGCATTTAGGGAAAAACTCCTTATAGTTCCCTATCGGCAGTGGCGCCATCTATCGGAATTTTATAATTTTATAATTTATTATAATTAAATTATAAAATTCTAACATTCCGATTATTATTAACTACTATTAATAATTTTATAATTGTTATACATAATTTAAATAAATAAATGGTAAATAATTTATTATTATAAATATTTTAATAATTATGAAATTACTAATTATTTAATTAGGTTTTTAATTGATATTTTTAAATTAAAAAAAAAAAAAATTTCTAGAAAAATCTAGAATTTTCTAGAAAATTATGGATTCCTCTGGCAAGTTCCAGATTTCTTCATACATTCTTTGATTTTTTCAAACCCCTATGCAAAATCCCAGATAACCTAGGAGAATGGGTGAACCACAGGAATTTTTCTAAAAAATGTATTTTAACACGGGCTCTTGTGGGAATTCGGAGAATAAATATTAAAAATAGAAAAAAGCCGCCATTTTCCTGAAATTTTGCATTTGGGTGGAGCTTTCATGGAGGAACATAAAAAAAATAATCCAATTGGCCTAGGAGAATTATTTACAAGGGATAATTAAAAAACTCAGCTAGAAAAATAAAAGAAGTCTTGAAATATGTGGGAAAAAAATGGAAAAGTTATTAAAAAAATATTTCGAATGCAAAAATGGTCGAAATATATTGAAAATTTGCAACTGAAATATCGATTTTTCTCGTTCCGCGATTGGTTCCCCTCCGTCTCACCACCTACACGCCCGCCCCGCCATAAATACCTTAAATCACTCTCCAATTTTTTATTCGCATCCCTCAGTCCCTGTATCTCTCTCCTCAATTCATCAAAACCTTCAGCCTCGACTGTTTTCCTTCTCAAATCATCATCAACTCTGGATAAATCGCGCTTCATATTCCCAAGATCGCCCTTCAATCTCTCATTCTCATCTCTCAAACGTTTCATCTCCCTCTCCATACTCTCTCTATCCTCGTCCCTCAGCTTTAACGCCCCCTCGAGCTCCTGAATTCTCGCCATCTCTCTCTTCAACCCCTCAATATCATCCTTCAGTCTATCATTCTCAGCACTGACACTTTGCATTCTCCCCATAATTTTCATCGTTTCACTTCTCGCCGCATCGAGATCCCCCTCAAGTTTGGTATTCCTCGATTCCAACTCACTCAACAGTAGTTTTCCACGGTTCACATCGCTCTTTGCTGACTCAATGTCGTTTGACAAACGTACATTCTCCGCTTTAATCATATCCAGCTCTGAATTTAATTTCACTGAATCGTTTACTGCCGCTTCTAGGTCATTTTTTAAACGACTCTCGGCTGCTCTGCTGGCCTCCAGATCCTTTCTGAGAGTTGCTAGAGTGTTCTTAAGGGCCTCCAACTCCTTCAGTGCTGTTTCTTTTGACGCTCTCTCTTTATCAGCATCACCAGATTGATTTCTCAATTTTTGTAATTCTTGGAGTAATTTTTCATGCTCCAACTCTAGTTCCTTTACTTTTTTATCTGTCAATGCTGAGGATTTCTTGAGGGCGTCCAATTCTTCGAGCGCCGACTCCTTCAAAGACTTCTCTCTCGCCAGGTCACCTGTTTCGTACGGGTTTTTAATGGGGGGTCTCTTTTTTTTTTCTAAGGATCAAAGAATCTCACGCAATTAACCTTTGAATTATTCACGTCAATTTAATATTTTTTTAAAAATTATTTAATCATAATCAACTTAAGACCCAATTACAATCGCCAATTGGCTCATCTACAATTTTCGATTACATTATTCTCATCACAAAAATAAATCCTCTGACCCTCTCTCATAAATGAAATCACTACCCAGATAATCCCCTAATTAATACAAATTATGAAATGTCTTCCGCGAGGGATTTATTTTCCCCCAAGAAAAAAGTTCCCCCGGCATTTTCTCATAAACCTGCCAATCCCCGCGATAATCCATTACCACAAGTAAGAAGAAGAATTTGATATGTCTGACCTATTTGATCTCCAGCTTTCTCTAATTCCTCTTTTAATTTGTTTCCCTCGGCTTCAAGGGACTTGGCTCTCCCCGCGGCCTCCTCCAGAGACCTCTTCAGCGAGTCGTTGCCGGCTCGTAGACCCTTTGCCTCCTCGTCCAGGGAAGACAATCTCGTCCTCAGATCCTGGGATTCTGATGAGAGTTTGGCAAATTCACTCTTGCATTTTTCAAGTTCACTCTCCACCCCTTCTTTCTCCTCCCGTAGCGAGGCGATATTTTTTCTCAGGCTATCCAGCTCTGCTCTACATTTCTCACCCTCTTGACGAGACTTCTCCAGTTCATCTTTTAAAGCTGACAATTCGAGGTTTAGGTCATCGATTTGCGTGGTCTGCGTCTCAGTTCTATCTAGAGCACCTCTCAGTGCATCTCCCTGGCTTCTCAAGTTACTCAACTCGGCGAGAAGACTGTCTTTTTCGGACTTCAGGGCATTCAGCGACGACTCCAAATCCTTTAGTCTAGCTTCGGAAATCGATAGCGCTGATTTGGATTTTTCCAGTTCCTCTTTCAGCTTTGAATTCTCCAAGCTCAAGTCATCGTTTTTGCTCTTCAACCCTGCGTTTTCTGACTTCAGGGTAGAGAGTTCGTCCTTCAAGGCTTGGGAGTCCCCGCCCGCGAGGGAGTCAGCCGTCAGTTTTTGGTTCTCAGCCTGCAATTCCTCCTGACGATTCCTCAAAGAAGACAGCTCGTTGGCTAGATTGTCCGAGGAATCCTTCAACGAAGCTATCTTCTTCGCGGACTCCTCTAGGTCAGAGCTCAGTTTCTCATTGTCCCTCCGACAGGTCATCAGGGCAGTCTTCAAAGCGTCAAGTTCAGCCTCCAAATCTCTGATTTTAACCGAACTCCTTTCATTTGACTTCCTCTCGTCGTCCAGAAGCCTCTGGAGATCATCAACTCCGGACTTCAAGGCTTCAGACTGTAGATTAATCTCCTCAAGCTCGCCAACTCTCCCCCTGCTGCTCTCCAGATCCTTCCTCATTCTGTCTAGATCACCCTTGAGCTTATCGACTTCTAATCCAACTTTACATTTTTCCATCTTCCAGAAGTCGACGTCAGCAGCTAGTTGATCAACTTCACTCTTCAGTCTCTCGTTTTCGGAGTTCAAGGTGTTGTTAGTGGAGTTCAATCTTCCAACTTCTTTCTTCAAATCAACTCCGTCAGCAATGCACTCCGACAATTTCTCCTGCAAATTAATCAATTGTCGCGTCAATTCATCCCTTTCATCCTCCACCTCTCGATTCTTATTGACTGTTTCCTCCAACTTGGCTAACAGATCCTTCAACTCCCCCTTCAACGTGAATAATTCCAATTCAGTGGCCTCTTTAGCAGCAGTCACCAACCCCAATTGTTCCTTCAGTTTTTCAATGGCATCTGTAACCATCGCCAATTCACTCTCAAGTTTTTCCTTTGATGACATCAACTCAGAGTCTTTAAACTCAAGGGATTTAAGGAGATCCTGAGAGTCACTGAGATTCTTCCTGAGTGCATTGACGTCGTCCGTCTGTTTCTGTAATTCCATCTCTACTCTTTCCTTCTCGACCTTCTGAACCGACAATTCTCGCTCGCAAGCTTCGGCCTTCTGCTTCATTCGCTCAAGGTCGAGCTGCAATCTTTCGTTATCAGAGGCTAGGGACTCCTTCAGCGACTCCAGTTCCTTCAGCTTATCCTTCAAATCTGCATTGTCTTGGGTTAATGGGTTTAATCTGTCGAGTTCTGACAGACACTTGTCCCTTTCCGCTCTCGCGGACGATAGGGAGGTCTCCAGAGCCTCCAAACGCTCTTTCTGATCGTCGCAAAGTCCCTTCAGCCGATCTATCTCATCTTGCAGTCCTGACGATTTTGATTTCCACGTGTCATTTTCTGATTTGCAAGCTCCAAGATCAGATTTTAGAGTAGATAACTCGTCCTTCAGCTTGTCTAGTTCGGATTTTAAGGCCTCGAGGTCTCCTTTAGCTGCATCTCCAGTATTGGTTAAGGAAGTTATCTCGGAATTCGCTTTATTGAGACTTTTCTCCAAGTCAGCGTTCAAGAATTGGAGGTTCTTCAGTTGATTTTCAAGGTTGTTTGAGGACTCAGCAAAATCTTTTAGTGATTCAGACAATTCTTCATTCTTTAACAAGATCTCTTCGAGTTGAGCCGTCAGTTCTTTGTTCTTCAGGGACAAGTCCATCAAGTCTGTCTTCAATCTACTGTTTTCTGACTCTTTATCGTCTAGGAAACTCTTCAATTTTTCATTCTCGGCCTGGAGAGATTGCAAGTCCTTCTTCAGGCGCTCAACCTCGTCCTTGAGATTCAGAAATTCTGAGTTTTCGGTCTGTAACTTGTCTATTTGGGAATTGCAGCTCTTCAGCTGCTCCCGCAATTTTTCTACTTCTGCGGTTATTTTATCAAGATCAGACGAGAGTTTACTCCTCTCCTCATCTGAACTGCTTTTACTTTCTAGGAGATTCTCGCAAGTTGATTTCAAATCACCGTTCTCCGCCGTCTTGAGCTCAAGGGAATGCTTTAACTCTTCATTTTCACTCGTCAACGAATCAAAAATTTTCTTCAGCTTCTCGAGTTCATCTTTGAGCGCGACGTTCTCACTCCCCAATTTTTCCCGCTCAGAGTCGCAATTCCTGATGTCCTCCATCAATTTAGATCCCTCTCTCCTCATCTTCTCGAGCTCATCATCGAGTTTATCCCTCTCCCCAGACAAATTACTCTTTTCCCCCAGAAGATTCTCACAAGTCAACTTCAAATCACCGTTCTCCGCCGACTTGAGCTCAAGGGAATGCTTCAACTCTTCATTTTCACTCTTCAACGAATCAAAAATTTTCTTCAGCTTCTCGAGTTCGTCTTTGAGCGCGACGTTCTCACTCCCCAATTTTTCGCGCTCAGAGTCGCAGTTCCTGATCTCCTCCATCAATTTAGAACCTTCTCCCCTCATCCTCGCGAGCTCATTATCGAGTTCATCCCTCTGTCCAGCTAAAATATTCTTATCCCCAACAAGATTATCACAAGTTAATTTCAAATCAGTATTTTCATCCTTGAGTTTCTCGGCATGTTTCTTCATCTCCTCGATTTCACCCTGAAGAATGGCATTCTGTTCTCTCAAGTCTTTACACTCCCCGTGACACTTTTCAACTTTTCGCCTCAACTCGTCGGTCTCTCCGTCCGCTTCCGCAAGTTTATCCAGCAGTTTTATTTTTTCATCATTCAGCAGTTTGGAATTTCGGCGCAATGCATCAAGTGAATTCTCAGTGACGTCATTATTATTATTAGCCCGTTTGAGTTCCTCCTCGAGGCTTCTAATTCTATCCTCGAGGACACTTGTGTTATCGCATTGTCCCAGCAATTCAGCAATTCTATTCCTCAGCTCTGTCTCACGTATCTCCCTTTCGTCAACCTGATCCTTGAGCCCATCAATCTCTCTACGGTAGACCAACTCCTGTCCCAGCAGGGCATCTATCCTAGCTTGTAAAGCTGCTATCTTGGCGCTTGAGTCATCTAATAGCTTGTCACGTTGCTCCAGAATCTCGATAATTTGATCGTTTCTGTCTGACACGACTCCACGGACTTTTTGGATTTCGTCTAATAATTTATCACGCTCTATTGATAGATCGTACAGCTGGGGCTTCATCACTTCTATCTCACTCTGAACTGACGACATTCCGAGCAAGTCCAGGGAACTTCGACCGAGGGTTCCTAGTAGTTCTTGGATCTGGGGGATTTGATAAAGGATTAGGTTGAGAATGGGGGGGGGGGGCATTTGGGAAGACTCGAGTGGACTTTTTCGTAAGTTTTTTGTTAGGAAGAAAGGATTGGGCAAGGATTGTGGATTAAAACACAACCTCCGGCGATTATTTCGCGTTTTGTCAAATTCATGGTTCACCATTTTCTAAGAGAAATCAAATGGTTGAATCTACACTGAGAGAAAAACGACAAAGTTCTCAAACAAGTCTTACTTGTGCCAAGAAAATATTTTTTTGAAAATTATCAAAAAAGGATTTTTTTGCGCCAAACATGCAGAGGGTGCGCCGGAAAGAAAAATTTTTGTTGGAAAAATAGATTTAGTAGTTAAAAAAAAATTGCATTCTCTGTACACGCAAGAAATGTCATGTCTCTTGAGNTTGTGCCAAGAAAATATTTTTTTGAAAATTATCAAAAAAGGATTTTTTTGCGCCAAACATGCAGAGGGTGCGCCGGAAAGAAAAATTTTTGTTGGAAAAATAGATTTAGTAGTTAAAAAAAAATTGCATTCTCTGTACACGCAAGAAATGTCATGTCTCTTGAGCCAAATATTTCGTTGTTATCGAAAGCAGAACAATTATTCATGTTTGAGACTTTCAAATTCGAACCAAGCAAATTCTTTCTTGACAATTTTCAACTAGCGATTTTGTTGGCCCAAACAAGACTTGTTTGACAACGTGTTTTTTTCTCAGTATATAGTGTGGTCTGTACCAAAATGTCAAAGACACGTAGATAATTTACGCCTCGGAAGCCTTAATTCCAATTTCCACACCAGAAAAAAGCCACCAAACGATAAAAAAAAGCCCCTAAATGACGTTCAACAACTCCTAAGTTACGCTTAACAGAACGTAATTTACGTATCGGTTTATCTGTCCGCATAAGACCTCTCATCCCAACCTTTTCATCCCTCTTCCTCAGCTCCTCCTTGGCCGCAGCGACCTCCTCCATCACCACTCTGTGGCTCACAGTCATTCTATCAGCATCCTCAGACATTCGTTTCTGCAGTCCCTGAATAACCGCCTCCTTCTCCCTCAATTTTCTCCTCAAATCCTCCACAGCATCTTCACACTCCCTCCCCCAGCCCTCCGCCTCCCCCAAAGTGGCAGAACCCATAAGGATCGAACTCTCCACTTCTCCTTCATCTCCCCCAAAGCCCTCCGCACCCGACTCCTTTGACATTTCCCCCGTTTTTCTCCATTCCCTCCCTTTGTCCCCGATAATCTCGTCGTTGGTGTCCTCAACAACACCATTCTCCACTCCATTCATCCCCCTCATCCCAAATTCGCGTTTTAGTCTCTCATTTTCCAGTAGAATTCTCGCGTACTCGTCTCTCATCTCATCGCAACTACCGGCGAACATCATTTGTCCCTCGATTCTTTCAGCGGCCGCTGTAATTTGACATTCTCCTTTGTCACTCTCCTCCGGCCGCGGCGTCCTCGTGAAATCTCGGAGTTTTGCCCGCAGGCGATTCACACCAGCGCAGGATGTCTCGTCCTCCGCGTCGGCCAGTCGCACCCTCAGCTCTGCTATCTTATCTCTCAACCTTTTTGGTTTAAGATCACTAGATTAGTCCGCGCGCGTAGGTCCTACCCCATGGGGCTTAATGGATGTCAATTGTCGTGAATAATCTTATATTGGATTTCTGAAGTTGATATTAAGTTTCCGAAGGAAAGGTTTCAGGAATGTATTCTATTTTTTTTATATGTGATACATCCAGTGCGACTTTTTTTGAGGCCAATCTATTTGGCGTATTGTGTCATTAGATTTTTTGTGAATGATGATAGCATACATTAAAGATGTTACGATGATTCTATATTATAGGGGAGGATGGGGCAAAACGGCCCCCCTTCAATCGTCAATATTTTCCGATTCAATAATCCGATTGGGATGAGTTAGAGCTCGTTTTGAAGAATGAAAAATTATCTTCAAAATGGAGTTGAACCTGGGAATTTTCACAATGTCATTCACAAGTTATTGACAATTGAAGGGGGGCCGTTTTGCCCCACCCTCCCCTATCAATAGCGAAGTGATAAACCGATTTTGACTTACCTCCGAAGTCGACTCATCTCCCAGTTGAGTTCTTGAGGAATATTTCCAAATCTAAGGGAGATAGCGAAATTTTCGTAATGACATTTGTTGTAGCTCTCAATCGGATCTACAAAAAAGGTTATAACAAAAATTTTGCCATCTCCCTTAGATTCCGAGATATTTATTGAAATAGTCACAATTGACTTATACCGTTTTACCACTTCGCTACTGAAATAATAAGGTTATTTTACTTATTTACCGGTTTCGTTATTCAAATTATCCCATTTCCAATATATAATGTATTATATATAATACATTATCAATGCATTATGATATAGTATAGTATAGAATATAATATAATATATATCATTCGTAAAAAATCGGATGACACAATACGCCGAATAGATTGGCTTCAAAAAACGTTCCACTGAATTTTTTATTAAAGGAAATGAATTTTGGGGGAGTGATTTGGGAGGGTTATTCAAGTGGAAGGGTGGGGGTGGGTACTTTTTCTTGTCGAAGCGGAATTGCTCGCGGAGCACCCGCATCTTCTCGCGAATCACTCGGGCGCCGTCACACGGGCTCGAGTAGAGTTCATGCTCGGCTAGGGTTTCCTCGAGGTCTCTGATCTTGTCTTCCAGGTCCGCTTTTGCGGATTCCAGGCGGAGGTTTTCCGTACGGTAATGCACGAGGAGGGGGTCTGTCTGGAGGGGCTCGTGGGGGACGACGCCTGGGGAGGAGAGACAATCATTTCGCTTTTTTTCCGATAAAAACGTCGTAATTTACGTTTAGGTTTTTCTGTGTACACCTCATCCGAACGGTTTTCAAAAAACACATTTGCCATCAGATGTTCACAATTTCCATTCNTTTTTTTTTTTTTTTTTTTTTTTTTTTTTTTTTTTTTTTTTTTTTTTTTTTTTTTTTTTTTTTTTTTTTTTTTTTTTTTTCGTCAAGGGTTCTCACCTAGAGATTGGAGTTTCTCCTTCAGGGAACGAGATTCGCTCTCGAGCTGGAGCCTCTCCAGCCTCCACTTCTTCATTTGACACTTCATTACCGAGAGTTTACGCAGGGCGAAGTCCAAGTCGTGTATCTCGTCGTCTTTGGTGTCTGCGGAGGGATTGTAGCTGCAGCAGCAGGATCTCTCGTGTCGGGGATCGCATGGCACCAGGGGAACTTGAATTTCAGAGACTGAGGGGGTGGAGAGCACCTCGCAGTCGCCGCCACAGAGGCATGTCGAGTGGGGGTACATGCCGCAGTCCATTTTTATAGCTTTTTCGATTTATTCTGCGCATATTTGGATCGGTAAACGACACAAATCAAAAAATTCTGAAGACGTTTTTTAGAAAAATGAACGTGAATTTTCACGTTTTTCGGAATCACTAGCTTCAGAAATACTTTGCAAATTTATATTCACGAATTAATAATTAATTGATTAATTGTTGATTAATTGATTGATTGATATTAATTACAATATTAATAATTAAAATTGACATATTAATTTACAATTGAATATTAATTTACAAATTAATATTAAACATCAGTTGATGATATTCACAAATTAATAATTAATTGATTAATTTGATTAATCAATGGATTGATATTAATTAATTGATTGATATTAATTATAATATTAATAATTAAAATTGACACATTAATTTACAATTAAATATTAATTTACAAATTAATGCTAAACATCAGATGATGATATTCACAATAAAAAATTAACGAATTAATTCACAATTAAATGCAATTAAATTTTCTATTTTTTAAGGTTTTTAATGATTAAAATTTGAAGAAAAAATCAAGGTCACACAGTTTACTTTTATATTTGGCTGAATCCTTTCTCTTCACACCATTTTATCCTTTTTTCAAAGACTTAATTACACAATAAACATCTCGCATTGACGAAACGTCAGCGATAGTCACATTGCCCCAACCTCCAATCCCCAAAATTACCAGTGATGCAGTTCTCAGTAATTTCAAAATCATGAATTAATTGTCGGGAAAGATGGAAATTGAAAGCCACTCGGGGAATGGGAATTTCGAGTGCCAGAAGCGACGGCTCTTTGAGACAGCCGAGTGGACCCTCCTGAGATTGAATCAGACGATAAATGAGATGAAGAGTTGGAGTCGGGAACGAGAGATCCTCACCGGTGACATTTATCGGTTGAAAATCGCTCTGGGATACTCTGAGAAACGTAATTCAACTACAAATAGAAATATTTTTATTCTTAACGAGCGTTTCATTCACTTTTTTCGGTATAAAATGTCATTGAGATTTTACTTGCACTAGAGCCGCGTTAATTATTCATTATTATTCATTATTTCAGGTGATTGTTTCAGAAATTTTTCAGAGTGAAAGAAGTTTTTGAACGTCTTTGTAAAATTTAATGCATTAATTTAAATAATTAACAGGGAAAAATGTCACGAGATATTTTTTTTTATTTAATTTTTTTTTTTCGGAATTATATTTTGATTAATCTTGTCTGCAGTTTCATTGGTGTTCAATTAACAATATTTTACAGAAAAAATCAATAGAATTTTATTTTTCGTGCAGTTTATTGTATTGAAATATTTCCTATAAGAATTCTTCCCTTAAATTTTTAAAATTCTTTTCTTCAATTTTTTAAAATGAAAACAGGAAAAATAGAATAGAGAAAACTTGGAATTCGAGGAATTCCTACAGCAAATGTCTCATTCACATGATTTTTTTCTAAAACGTAATCCATTAATTTAAACAATTAACAGAGAAAAATATCCCAATAATTTTTTTTAAAAACATTTATTTTTTTCTCGAAAATATATTTTAATTAATCTTGTCTGCATTTCCATTGAAGTGTTCAATTAACAATATTTTACAGAAAAAAATCAATATAATTTGATTTTTCATCCAGTTTATTGTATTGAAATATTTCCAATAAAAATTCGTCCCTCAAATTTTTAAAATTCTTTTCTTCAATTTTTTAAAATGAAAACAGGAAAAATAGGATAGAAAAAACTTGGAATTCGAGGAATTCCTACAGCAAATGTCTCATTCATATGATTTTTTTCTAAAACGTAATTCATTAATTTAAACAATTAACAGAGTAAAATATCCCAATAAATTTTTTCATTTAAAGACATATTTTCATTTTTTTCCAAAGATATATTTTAATTAATCAATTTATTCGCATTCTCATCGTCGAAATAATTCCATTTCCTCATTATCCCACTGGAAAAACAGAAAATATTCGTAAGAAGCAGAGCAGCACTTGAATCCACAATAATTTTCCCTCGTTCAGTGTTAGGGGATCCCCTGGTGATGCATCAAAACCAGGAGATACATCGCCTCGAGAGGATGAATAATGATATGAGAATGAAAGTAGAGAGTATGAGCGTTGCACTGATGAATGCAGAGCGCACAGTATCGTGGAATGTGGAGAGAAAAGTGAGATGTGAAATGGCAACAGTCAAGTGCCAAGTTGCTGAAGAAAAGCTTCATCTTGCGCGGGAAATCGCACGTTTGAGGAGTGAGTTGAATGAGGCAAAGGTCGATAGCACTGTGTACCATGAAATTAGAGAGAAACTTGACAAGTACGTTGAGGGAGACAGACAATTTGATGCCGTCGTTGCTGAGGCTGCTGGAAAACTTATTGACACAGTTTGTCAACTGTCGAGTGAACTAATTAAAGTGGGGCAAGGTAAGATTTCAGGGGAAAATCTTGTTTTTGGGAATTTGAGTTTGGGAGCGCGAGATTTATCGGAATTATGGAGTTTGGAGCAACTTTTTGAAGACATTTTATTTATTTTTCATCATTCATTCAATTTGATCAATTGATTTGTTTTATAGGTCTAGTATTTTTCGAGATATTTTTATAACTTATTCATTAGTTTTTTCTTATTTATATTGATGATTTTATCATGTTTTCTCACACAGTTTAATTGAATTATTTAACAAAACTAAAAAAACAGGTTTTTTTTCAAGTGAAGGTAAGATTTCAAGGAAAATCTTGTTTTTATGAATGGGATTTTGAGATTTGGGAAGGTTCTTGGAAATTGCAGAGTTCGGAGCAACATTTTAAGGTCAATTTATTCATTTTTTGAACTTATTCCGGTTGATCAATGCATTTATGTAACATAAATCTGTGAGTTTTGACATTTAATGTCATTTTTGTCAATATTCATCAATTTTTTGAATATTTCCCTCACACAAATAAATTAAAAAATTCAACTCAACTCAAAAAAATGAAAAAAACAAAAAAATTCAGTTCTCAAGACAAAAAAAAATGTCTGAAAAATCTACTTTTAATTCATTTAATTTAGAACCACGGGAAATCACATTTTCGGAAAAATCTGCAATTTTCGCTGCATAATTTCTTTTTATTCAACATTTACCAATTTTTTCCTCCCATAAATTAATTAAAAAATTAAACTCAACTCAAAAAAATGAAAAAAACAACAAAAAAATTCAGTTCTCAAGACAAAAAAAATGTCTGAAAAATCTGCTTTTAATTCATTTAATTTAGAACCACGGGAAATCACATTTTCGGAAAAATCTGCAATTTTCGCTGCATAATTTCTTTTTATTCAACATTTACCAATTTTTTCCTCCCATAAATTAATTAAAAAATTAAACTCAACTCAAAAAAATAAAAAAACAACAAAAAAATTCAGTTCTCAAGACAAAAAAAATGTCTGAAAAATCTACTTTTAATTCATTTAATTTAGAACCATGGGAAATCACATTTTCGGAAAAATCTGCAATTTTCGCTGCATAATTTCTTTTTATTCAACATTTACCAATTTTTTCCTCCCATAAATTAATTAAAAAATTAAGCTCAACTCAAAAAAATAAAAAAACAAAAAAATTCAGTTGTCAAGACAAAAAAAAATGTCAGTGAAAAATCCAGTTTTAAGTCATTTAATTTAGAACCAAGGGAAATCTCATTTTCATAAAAATCTGCGATTTTATCAAAAAACCGAAAAAAAAAATTGTTTCAGACCACAAAATCACAGATAACGCGAGGACGAAAGAATCCGAAAGCATCCCGCCGCCCCTCGAATCACTTACAAATGGAATCGATCCTTACGCCGTCGAAATAACCAACGAGGTCAATCGGCTCCAACTAGAGAAGCAACTTTTACTAAAAGAAATGGAGAAAAAATTTCATAAAATTTTCATGGAGAAAGAGTTGAAGGTGAGAGCTTTGAAGAGGGTTGCATCGAGTCTGCGAACGAAGTTAATCATATCGTTAGGGAGGAATAAAAAATTGTGCGAGAAGTTGAGTGACTCTGAGGGCTCAAAGAGCGTCGAGGAGAGAGGGTCCTCGCCCGTTCAGACGGCCGTCAGTGGAAACAGACTGCCGCACTCAGTTGACTTCACCGGGGGTGGGTCGAGACCCAGTAACGAGAAACTAATCACACCCAAAGATAATTGCAAGGATAGCTATGATGTCGAAGAGCTCACCGAGAAATTAATGAGAATTACTGAGGAAAAGAAAAAGTTGGTGGATCAGTTGGAGTTGGAGAGGACGACTACGCGAGAAGCTCTGAGGGCATTCGAAAAATCAGTGAAAGAGAGCGAAGAAAAGAGTGAAGAGATCAAGCGAATTGAGATGAATCTCTCCTCGACAAAGAAAGACCTAAAAAAATTGAAAACCAAGAGTAAAGAATTAAACCTCACAAACAATGAAACCAAAAGACACCCCAAAATCTCTTTTCTCAACAAAATAAACCTTCTAAAAATAAAACTAAAAAAGCTAACAACAGGTTTAAAAAAAACGGAGGGCGAACTAGCTGAGAAAAATGAAAGAATTAATTCATTGGAGTTGGAAAATAATTCTTTGAAATCTGAAAACGTCGGTCTTGTGGCCAAGATAGATTTTTTAAATTCGAAAGAAGTAGAAATGAGTGACGATGTGATTCCAGAAATAAATTCGCGTCCCTCACAATTAATACCAGAAAATATTCGTTATGATGATGAAGATGTGCTCGACGAGTCGGCCGAAAGGGGGATTGAGCTCAAAGAATTTCAAGAAAGCGTGGAGAGCCTAAAATTATCTGGGTTAGAGGTTGAGAATGCAGCGTCGAGTGCAATTGAACCAGCAAACACTGCGGATACGTGCGCCTCCGGTGCGCCCCAGAGGGTAAAAACTCCATTGGATGATTTACAAGTTTCATACGGCGTCAAACATGTATCAAAGGAGGCTGAAGTGATGGTGTCAACAGAATTACCGAACTGCGTTCGTGATTTGCGGACGAGTCAAGGGGAATGCGTGAGTG